CATACATTTACGTAACAATCATCGGTTGTATATTACGTCGAATGAAAGACATGTAATAAAAATCACACTGCATGATAACAACAAACTACCTTCAAAAAAGCGAACCTAATTGTAGACATTTCAATATATAACAAACCAATAATATTAAAATAGTACAATCTAAATTTACATTGATGTTTATATGTCTACAACAATTAAAATTCACAAGTCATTCATTATTACAATCCTTCAACTTCATGTTAACAAATTGTTCCACCAGTTCATTGTACACATCACACTATATAATTGCATCCTGTCTTTTCTTTCTGGTGGCAAGAAGCTCCATTTGAAGAGCTTGACACTGCACCAACAGGGTTGACATATGACCTGATGAAGAACATGACCTCTTGCCTTTGTCCTCAACCTGGCACCGACAAAAGAAAAAGAGTGTCAAAGAGACTGAGGATTATAATGAAACATCACTATAATGCCAGTTTAAATACAATTGGACAAATATTAGCAATGGACCAAATAGTAGTAATGTAAACAAACAGATAAAATCAATAATTTTTGCAAGTAATGATACTTACTTATATGATTTGTCTGTCTCATTTATCATGCCAATTGTCCACCAACATTTTTATCAATACTAGCTATAATCTTGCAGTAGAATTCCCAAGATACATGTGTATGATTAATAGGTATTTGCCCAAATGGATGTTGCTCTACATACTTAGGAACATTTTCAAGCATTTGACAATCCATGTAGATATTCCTGCAGATCACCTCCAATAGCTAGTGCATTATCATTTTTATTGCAAGGATCAAATGAAAATGGAAAGACCGAGTTGTGCGGAGGATTAAGTAATGCTTTGTAAGGAGAATCATCCAACAGTAATGTGTTGGATTCATTGTAGTATCCTTTCTCCCATGGAAGATTAGGATCACAACACTCCCAAATTCTTCTCAAATCCTTAAAAACCACTGGCTTTTTTTTCATTTTCTAGGGTCATGAAATGGGTGGCAGTACAATAGGAACCATCCCAGCAAAAAAGCAACTTGTTCTTCATATTTGGCATCAAATATTCAATGACCTCCTCAGTATTTTTCTGGTTTCTTGAGGTCCATATACCAACTTCAAAGTGCACGAAGCAGAACTTTAGAAACTCAACATAAAAATGCCTCTTCAATATTGCTTGACGTCTAATGAAATTATCTGGCTTGAGATTCTTAGGCGGGGACTAAATTATACACGCAAGCAAGCCAATTACATCAAGAACAAGAAGCTTTTTCTTCAAATGTCTAGGGGTGTTCACTGCATCTATAACACCAACAGTTAATTTCATTACTACATTACAATCCATCTTATGTTTCTTATGGAGGGGGCCAAACCGTACCTGCTAAATTAGTTGGGCTGGCTCGAGGTGCAACTAGCAACTTATAAATCTAACCAATTTGTGCAAGCTAGACCATCAAGCCGCTGGTCTTGTTGGTCCATGCGAGTACGCATCTCATTCATAAAGGCAACCATGTATGGTGGTGCATTTAAGTGAGGAGGATCAGAGGAGTCATAATCTTCTTCTTCATGTTCAGGAAGCTCTTCTTCATGATGAAGGACACCAGCAGGTTGTCGAACATCGTAGTACACTTCTATATTGGACTTGATGCCCATCTGAGATAAAATTGACTGGCCAAACATTTTATATGTTTGTGGATCTTCCTTCTCTTGTTCATTAAGGGGAACATCAAAGTGCTCAAATATTTTAGTAAGAAACATACCATAAGGCAGACCACCACCTTTACTTTTAGCTGCCTTAACCATATGATTCATCACACAATAACCTTAATTAATGGCTATACCATTAAGCATTGTCCAGATTGGAAAAACATCTTTATCTAACAGATATGCATGATTACTAGAACGAGGAAGTAAACCCGTTACCAGAGCGTAGTGGAGAAGACGATATTCTGTGTGTAAATAGCCAACTGTAGTCCCTTTCAGGGGACTATCATCTACCAATAGAGATTCCTTCGCCTCCACATTGTCGTATTTTGTGGACATAACCCACTCTGTACTAGGTCGTTCACCAATCAATATCAGACCATCACAAGGTAGACTTGTCAGCTCTTTCCACAGAGTTTGGTCGATTTGAATCTCAATCCCCGCCACTTCTAACGTTAGAACTTCTTCTTCGAGACTTAAGTTACTGTAGAATTCTCGAATAAGATGTGGATAGACTGCTTTGTTGATTTCCAAGAAGGCATTCAACTCTACATCCATCAAAACTCTAATGAAGTCAAATCCGTTATTAACAGAGTATTGGGTGTCAAGGACCTTTGCGGCTATCACCTCCTTCGTGGTCACAGTTTGGGTACTTGAAGAAGTCGCTTCTGAGTGGGTGCGCTTGGAGCTTTTTCTTTTGCCAGCCATGATTTATGTTTACGACTATTGAGATAGTCAATAGTGAATGAAAACAGAGAACAGATAATCTGCGAGTAATTAGAAAACAAAGAATACATTAACCTTGATGGTTGCTGTATGCTTCTTCTTTACAATGCAAACGAAATCAAACAAGATGAACCATCAAATTAAAATTCAAAACCGAAATCATTAACCATATTAAACCCTAAACCAAATGAACAGAACCCAATATTAAACATAGACGAACCAGAGCCGGGAGAGAACGAACGTTTCTTTTGCGTGCGCCGGCGAGAGAGATGCAGAGCGAAATTATGTAAAACTATAATCTCTTAGCACAAACTATGATCGATGTTCTCCAACTATAATCGATCATTCTCAATTATAATTGGTTATCGTAAATTATGATCGATTATTATCCAATTATAGTCGATCACTTTGACATATATGACTTTAGATAGCGGTTATTTGGCCAACTGCTATCTAAACTACATTTATTATAGTGTTCCACGGGTCAACCACTCTTTAAAAGTATGATATAAGGGAGCGGTTATAAAAAAACCGTTATTATAAACATACGTTAGACAGCGGTTTACGGCTAACCGCTATCTAATATATATTTTTAAAAGCGGTTCTTATTAACCGCTATCTAAGGTCGCTCAAGCAAAAAACACATCGCTTGAGCGAGGACACCTGGAAAATTTGGGGATTCTCGGGTTCTGTCTCGCTCAAGCGACGTTATGATTGCTTGAGCGACAAGTGATTCTTATATGCAGTAAACCGAGTTATATGGCTAACTGCGTTGGACGTTTCGATAGTGGGTCAGTACTCGCTCAGGCGAGGAATCCATCGCTTGAGCGATGGAACCTCAAAACAATGGGGACTCTCAGGTTCAGTCTCGCTCAAGCGACTATGTAATCGCTTGAGCGACAGTTGAATCTTATATGTGGTGAACCAAGTTATATTAGATAACTAACTGCGTAGGACGTTTCCTCTGTGGTTCAATAGTCGCTCAAGCAAGGATGACATCGCTTGAGCGATGGAACCTTAACCAATGGGGACCCTCGGGTTCTGTCTCGCTCAAGCGACATTATGAACGCTTGAGCGACAAGTGATTCTAATATGTGGTGAACCAAGTTATATTATTTGGCTAACTGCATTTGACGTTTCGTCATTGGGTCAACACTCGCTCAAGTGACAAAGTCATCGCTTGAGCGACGAAGCCTTCAAACAAGGGGGACTCTCGGGTTCTGTCTCGCTCAAGCGACGGTGTACTCCCTTGAGCGACAAGTGATTCTTATATGTGGTCAACCAAATTATATTATATGGCTAACTGCGTTGGACATTTCCTCTATAGGTCAACAGTCGCTCAAGCGAGGAATTCGTCGCTCGAGCGACGATACCTTCAAACAATGGAGACTCTCGGGTTCTGTCTCGCTCAAGCGACAGTATCATCGCTTGAGCAACATTTATATAAGGTGAACCAAGTTATATTATGTGAAAGTGATGAAGATCTTAGTGAAATACTTTGACAAAGATCTCATTGATTTGATGAAGTCAAAGATGAAGTCAAAAGTCAACTTTGCAGCGGTCAACAAGTCACTCAGATAAAAGAGTTAGAAGATTAGTGTGTCTAACAAATGCTTAGGTAAAAACCACTATATCTTTTCTGCTGCATGAAGGTTCTTCACTTAAATGATTTTGCAAAATGCCTCTAAAATCGTTTTAAACAATTAAAAACAAAGCATTTTGACAAAAACTTTCTTAAACATGTTTTTAACTGATATAGTTTTGAAAGAACCGATTAAAATCACTTAGAATGTTCAAAGAAATGTTTTTACAGTATTTTAATCGATACAAATTACTTTTAATCGATTAAAACCCTTTAGAAACCATTATGACCGATCAGATTTAAAATATGAGCGATCAGAACTTATTTCAATCGATTAAAACATGTTTCAATCGATTAAAATCACTTAAAGGGTCAGAATGATCGATCAGAATGCAGTTATGACCGATCAGAGTTGGTTATGATCGATCAGAATTGAATTATGACCGATCAGATCTGTTTCAATCGATTAAAACGCATTTCAATCGATTAAAACAACTTGGAAAAATTTTGTACTAAGTTTTAATCGATTAAAACTTCTTTTTATCAGTTAAAATAACTTGAAAAGTTTTATAAGAAAGTTTTGCAGTATATCAATCGATTAAAACACAAAACAATCGATTGAATCAAACTTAGAAAAGTTTTGTAAAGTGTTTTAATTGATATAACCATTGTAGTATCAGCTAAAACAAATCTGTTAAAGAATCAAGAACGTATTAATGGATTGAAAGGACTTTTAACAGATTGAAACGGCTATTTCAACAGATTAAAACAAACTTTCAATAGATTAATTAATGCAGCAGTTTTGAAAATACTCTTTAAAAACAGTTTGGCTTGAACTTTTTAAACATACATTGAACATCAGTTTTTACACATCCTAAGCAATAATTCAAGCAACCTTTAGCATCCTTTTTCAAGAAAGATTCGCAACAGTTTTTAGAAGTTCTTTTGAAAATCTTTCTTGAGGCAACTTGCATACTTTTGAAGAAGAAACTCTCTGCAGATTTGGATAAACTGGTTTGAGCTTTCTAGTTTCTTCTCTGTAAATTCTTTTTCATTCTTTTGTATTGTGTTGTGCCTGGAATTTGGGCACAAGTTTCTCTGCTACTGGAAGTTGGTTGTGGAGGTTATCAAGAACTGGAATTTGGTTCTTGGTGAAAGGTTTGGTGCCTGGAATTTGGGCACTCGGTTTCTCTCGCAACCGGAATTTGGTTGTAGAGGTTATCAAGAGCTGGAATTTGGTTCTTGGTGGAGAGGTTAAGTGCGGGAACCGGAATTTGGTCCTTGTGATAGATTAGGTGTAAGATTGTTGAATCGTAGAAACATTTAATCTAGTGGAACCCAACTCGGAATTTGGCTGGAGATTGGACGTAGCCCTGGTATTGGGTGAACCAGTATAAAATACCGGTGATATCTTCCTTAACCTTTCTCTCATTTAAATTCAGTTGCTGCGCTTATTTTGATTGATTGCTTTACGATTCAAGAATAGATTAGTAAACTTAATTTTCGAATTAGATAATCTGTGAATTGCGAAAAACTTTCAAAGATCAATTCACCCCCCCTCTTGATCTCAAACTACTTTTCTAACAATTGGCATCAGATCGAGGTGCTTGAAAGTTATTCAAGTTCTTCGATCCATGGTCGGAAACAAATTTTTCGAGGGAGCTTGTATTGATAGACCTCCACTGTTTTGTGGAACAGATTATCTATTTTGGAAAATGAGGATGAAGATCTTTATTGAATCTGTTAGTATAAATGTCTGGAATGTCATTGAACAAGAAACCGATATGGTTAACGTAATCCAAGATGATTGTATTGCCAAAAATATCATCTCATCCGCTCTTAACGTAAATGATTTTTTTAGGATTGCACATTGTCAAACTCGTCGCACAAATGTGGAAGATCCTTGAAAAGACCTATGAAGAAGCACCAGAGATATGCTTAATGGTCAACTCGGAATCACCAAATACCA